TTTTGTGAGAAAAAGAAATTGAATAATTACATTAATGGATTCCTGTCATTATTTCTGGCACCAACGTACTGGTATACCCCCCCACCCCCGACGTGTTCCATATGCGGTGTGTGAAAAAAACAAATTCAGACAGTACATTCACCTGTTGGTTCTTAGTCGTGGTTGTCGTGTTGTCAACTATTGTAATGTGTTCAGATCCAATAGATTTTGTGAGGCAGTGGCCCCTGGTCCTTGCAGTTTTTTTTTGCCCCATGAATTTCGACCTCCCTGTGTCCTCAAACTAAACAGGACTCATCTCTTGGGCCAGGCAGCAATCAGCCCCCACTGCATGCAGGCACCGGTGCACCTACACGTCCAAGTGTGTACCTTGCTTTCCGTAGTTTCCTGCTCATCCTCGGGCATCTGATTTGTCCGTCTCCCAACGGAGTCTGACACACTGTGTGTCAGCCCTTTTAATAGCTGAAGAGTATTTTGGCTCTTGACTGTGGGAACAGTTGTGGACTCTTCTTTTCTCAGTTGGACTATGGCCTTCACAGATACAGAACGTGGCCTTCACAGATCAATTCGTTTTGCTGTCCAGTAATGTGTCTGTTCACCTGTTATACATGTACAGTGCAATGCACATGTTTGTTTGTGCACCCTTATGTGTACGGTACATGTACTTTAATTGTTTGTGCATGTACATTCTGGGGACAATGCTTGTTCTGACAGGTAGAAGTTATGGGGATACAGAGGTCATGGCAACCTATAAGGAGGAGATTCCAATTTTGGTAACAACAGAAATTGTCCTCTTAATACGAGGAAAGCCTACATGTACCTACCCATACAGTGTTATGGGAACTACATGTACATGTACATGTTGACATACATGTACTTTCAGTATGCGTGCATGTTGACACTGACCAAATGGGTGTCTGCACAGTTTGGTAGCTGTTGTACAATATACTTGAATAAATTGTGCCCAAAATGGGATGAAGGCCTGCCATGTATTGTTACACAGCTTAGTCAAAAGTTCAAGCACACCTTGTAAGTGATACCCGGTATGTTTCATGTACATGTACATGAGCCAGGAACTGTATATGTACACGTACATGTACATTTATGTGTATACACGTACACCAGGCTATGCATGTGCACCAGCACTGCACATGTGCGTGACTTGAATGCGTTAGACAGATATGGCAGCTTGCAATCCCCAGTGGAATGAGGTTAACCACATCTGCCTCAAAACTTGTCACAGGAGAACCCATTGAATCACGATGTACATTATCGTCTCTGGAGAAAAAGAATCACTCCAGTGAAGAAAAAAAACACCTAAACAAACCGCAAAAGACAGAAAAAAGCAAGGGGGGGGAAAGAAGAAAAACCCACACCTGACCTTGGCTTGGAAATCAGTGTTGTGGCGCAGTACATTGACTTTTATCAGGCACATAAACATGCACAACTAAGTACATGGTGTGGTACTCAATACATTGGACTCGGTAT